TGTGGCACCCGCATTCTTTAGACCGAACGGCATGACCACGTAACAATAGGTCCCTCGATTTGTTACAAAACTCACACGCTTCCTGTCTTCTCTTGCCAAGGGAATTTGATGATATCCCTGGGAGGCATCCATCAGGCTCAGCAATTCGCACCCTGCCGTTGAGTCGACCAGCTGGTCAATTCTGGGCAGCGGGTATAGATCCTTCGGGCACGCTTTGTTCAGGTCACGGAAATCAATGCACATCCTCCATTTTCCCTCCGCCTTCGACACCATCACCGTATTTGACAACCATTCGGGGAATTGGATTTCCTCGATATGCCCTACTCCCAATAACTTCTCGACCTCCTTCTCAATGATTTTGTCCATCTCGGCCCCATGGTGTCTTCTTTTTTGCTTCACCGGCCTCACACTGAGGTCGATGTTCAGCCGGTGTTCGATCACTTCCGCACTTATCCCTGTCAACTCCTCCGCGGTGTAGGCAAAAATGTCCGCGAACTCCCTGACCAGATCGATAAGCCACGACCGGATAGGCTCCTCCAAGTCTTTCCCGATTCTGAACTTCCTCTCTTCACACCCCTCGATCATATGAATCTCCTCCACCTCTCCCCCTGGCTGAATATCCACCTTCTCCTTGCCCTTCTCCATTCTTTGCTTACCCTCTTTCGACCTCGACCCACCTGGCCGATTAATCCTCTCCTCCTCTGACTGGGCCTGCCTCCTCGCCAGCTTCTTATTATTGCTAATCGTCGCTTGGTAGCAGCTCCTCGAAGTGAGCTGGTCCCCAGCAATCTCTCCTACGTTTTCGCCCACCGGATATTTAATCGTCATATGGTACGTGGATACGACCGCCTAGAACGCGTTCAAGCTCGTTCGCCCATTTTGTAAAATAATCGACCGCCGCTATTAAGAACTTCCTCTGCCCGGTTCCCTGAGGCATCGGCCCCACCAGGTTGATACCCCACTGGGCGAATGGTATGAGGACACTCATCGTTGTCATTGCTTCTACCGGTTGGTGAATAAGAGGACCATGTTTTTGGCATTGCAAGCACTTCTTCACCATCGCTTTCGCATCTTCCCTCATCGTTGGCCAAAAGTATCCCGCCCTCAAAATCCTTGCGACCAAAGCCCCTGACTTGCTATGGTCACCACAACATCCTTCGTGCATCTCTCTCAGCACATATCGACCCTCTTCCTTAGTAACACACCGCAAATGTGGTCCCTCATACGACCGTTTGTAAAGAATACCTCCATGCTCAAAAAATCTCCTCACCACCTTTATCGTTCCTTCTTTCAGCTCCTCCAAGATCGGGGCCCTCCAATCTTCCACTTCTTCGATCTCCGCCACTTCTGCTTCGACCATACTTTTTTACAGATGCAATAAAGTAACACTCCTGCTCTTACAATCCACCAAGCTCTGAGCGATTTTTGATAGCAGGTCCGCCCGACCATTTTCTCCTCGAGGAATTTGTATCAGCTCGAATGAATCGAACTCCTCCTTCAACTTCCTCATCTCATCTACATACTTTTGCATCCGGTCCTCCTTGACTTCAAACCCCTCCTGAAACTGCCCAACCACTAGTTGAGAATCAGAATGCACTTGTACTTTTCAAGCTTATTCCGCCTTGGCTAAGCTCAGGCCTTTGATTACTGCTTCATATTCGGCCTCATTATTGGATTCTTTGAACCCCACTTTAGCTGCAAATTCTAAGTAATCGCCTTTAGGAGAGACAAGGACAATTCCCAATCCTGCCCCGCTTCGCGCCACAGACCCATCCACAAACAGCTGCCATAACTCTTCTGACTCCTCCTCGACTTTCGTTCCCTCCTGGATAAAATCGGCCAACACCTGCGCCTTTATGGCCCTCCTCGGCTCATATAATAAGGAATACTCACTCAACTCGACCGCCCATTTCACCAACCGACCAGAGACCGATGGTCGGCCAAGCATTTCTCCCAACGGCATGTTTGTTCATACTCTCACTTTATGGTTCAAGAAATAAGGTCTCAACTTTCGAGCCGTTATGACCACGACCAATGCACACTTCTCAATCTCCGAGTATCTCATCTCTGCCCCCTGCATCACCCTACTCACGTAGTAGATGGCAAATTGCGCTACTCCTTCCTCCCGCAACAACACCGAGCTCACCGCCCTCTCTCCTATAGAAATGTATAGCACCAACTCCTCGCCCTGTATGGGTTTAGCCAATAAGGGAAGGTTGGCTAACACCCCCCGCAACTCCTCGAAGGCCCCCTGCGCCTCCTCCGTCCATTGGAATTTTGCACTCTTCTTCAATGTTTTAAATAATGGACCACTCTTCTCTGCCACCTTCGATATAAAACGGCTCCGCCCAGCAATTCGACCAGCTAAGATCTGCACTTCTTTAATAGTCGTCGGCGACTTCATCTCTATTACAGCTCAAACCTTCTCAGGATTCACTTAAATACCTCTCTTGGTCACCAAGTAACCCAAGAACTTCCCCGATCTCACCCCGAAAGAGCACTTAGCAGGATTCAATTTCATCCCATATCTCCGCAATGTTAGGAATGTTTCTCTCAAGTCTCGCGCATGATCCAACTCCTCCTTGCATTTCACCAACATATCGTCCACATATACCTCCATGTTCCTCCCAAATTGCTCCTTGAAACTTTTATCAACCAACCTTTGATATGTGGCACCCGCATTCTTTAGACCGAATGACATGACCACGTAACAATAGGTCCCTCGATTTGTTACAAAACTCACACGCTTCCTATTTTCTCTTGCCAAGGAAATTTGATGATATCCCTGGGAGGCATCCATCAGGCTCAGCAATTCGCACCCTGCCGTTGAGTCGACCAGCTGGTCGATTCTGGGCAGCGGGTATAGATCCTTCGGGCACGCTTTGTTCAGGTCACAAAAATCAATGCACATCTTCTATTTTCCCTCCGTCTTCGACACCATCACCGTATTTGACAACCATTCGGGGAATTGGATTTCCTCGATATGCCCTGCTCCCAATAACTTCTCGATCTCCTTCTCAATGATTTTGTCCATCTCGGCCCTATGGTGTCTTCTTTTTTGCTTCACCGGCCTCACACTGAGGTCGATGTTCAGCCGGTGTTCGATCACTTCTGCACTTATCCCTGTCAACTCCTCCGCGGTGTAGGCAAAAATGTCTGCGAACTCCCTGACCAGATCAATAAGCCTTGACCGGATAGGCTCCTCCAAGTCTTTCCCGATTCTTAACTTCCTCTCTTCACACCCCTCGATCATCTGAATCTCCTCCACCTCTCCCCCTGGCTGAATATCCATCTTCTCCTTGCCCTTCTCCATTCTTTGCTTATCCTCTTTCGACCTCGACCCACCTGGCCGATTAATCCTCTCCTCCTCTGACTGGGCCTGCCTCCTCGCCAGCTGCTTATTATTGCTAATCGTCGCTTGGTAGCAGCTCCTCGAAGTGAGCTGGTCCCCAGCAATCTCTCCTACGTTTTCGCCCACCGGATATTTAATCGTCATATGGTACGTGGATACGACCGCCTGGAACGCGTTCAAGCTCGTTCGCCCCTTAATGATGTTATAAGATGATTCAGCCCCTACGACCACAAACCTCACCATGCGCACCTACCTTAGTTCGCCCACTCCCAGCGCCACGGGCAAACTCACCTCACCCATCTGCATCACCTCCCCTCCATTAAAGCCATAGAGTGCCGTGGTCACCGGTTTCAACTCCATATTCAACTCTTTATTAATTTGCACGAAACAGTCATAAAACATCACGTCCACCGAACTTCCGGTGTCAATAAACACCTTTTTCACATCGAAGCCTGCAACCTCCGCAGTTATCACCAAAGCATCGTTGTGCGGTAGGACCACTCCCTCGGCATCCTCCACTTTAAAACTTATGACCGGCATGCGAGCCGTAATCCCCACCTCCTCTCTCTTCCTCTTCACAGCTCGAGCATGCTCCTTCCTGGCCCTATTCGAGTCTCCATCCGTTGGCCCGCCGGAAATCATGTAAATCGTCCCTCTCTTCACTGGGGCTTCTCCTCCAAGCCCTCCTTTATCGCCATCTCTCCTTGGCTTCTTTCCTCGACCGTCTCGACCATCTCCGCCATCTCCCTCCTCATCTCTATCACTCCTTTCTTCTGAATTCTCTCTACATCTTCTCCTTCCTTTCCCTTTCACCCTGTCGTGATACACAAATTCTTTCAAATATCCCGCTCGAATCAGCCTCTCGATCTCATCTTTCAAATGTCTGCAATTCTCCGTGGTGTGACCATAATCTCGGTGAAAGCAACAGTAAATATCCGACCTAGGTCGAATTGGGCCTATAAACCTCGTCTTCAGCCAAGTCACATCTTCACTCGGCATCTTTTGCTCCATGGCCTCGAGGACCTCTGTCATGTCTTTCCTCAAGGGCGCAAAAGTGTGGCATCTCTGTCTCTCGAACAACATCGGCCTCCTCTGCCACTCATCTCTCTTCTCCTTTTTCGAGTCTCGACTCTCTCTTCGGGGTGATGCCCTCTTCTGCCCATTCCGTTTGGGCAAATTCTTCTTCGGTGATCTCCCCCTCTGTGGACTCTTCTCCTTTTTTTGGCTCTGGTCGAGCCACTCCCTCCAGCTTTGCAAACTCCATCTCCACTTCCTCCAAGTTAAAATACTTCCTGCACTGCTTCAGAACATCCTCATATGATCGAGCAGGGGTCTTTGCCAGGGAAGTTCGACAAGGCCCTGCTCGAAGACTCCTTATCAATCCACCCGCCTTCACCTCGTCCGAAGCCGAGTGCACCTCTAAACATGTTTGGTTATATCGAGCAACATACTTCCGCAATGATTCCTTCTCCCCCTACCTCATCGCCATCAAAGTCAAATACGTTATCTCCTGCACCACCGCGCTCAAATATTGATTGATAAGCTTGCCAATAAAGTCCTCAAAGCTCGCGATCGACCCAGGGGGAAGCTGATGAAACCAATCGAATGCTCCTCCACGGAGGGTCGATAGAAATGCCCTGCAGCAAACAGAATCAGAGTACCCATGCAACACAGCCATATTTTCAAAGGTCCTCACATGCCTCGATGGGTCAGATGACCCATCATACACCAAGTTGGTCTCTTTGAAATTATTTGGCAAAGGAGCAGCGAGAATCTCCCTTGAAAAGGGATGTCCTCGAGCTCTCCTCTCTGGCCTCCCCTCCACCTTGTCTTTCAGTTGGCGCAACTGCTCCGCCATCCTCTCCATTGCCCGATCTCTTCCAGCTCCTCCTTCTCCATAACTAGACACATCCTCATCCTGGCTCCCGGCCACCGTGGTCGGCGCAGTGGAGGCATGAGATGTATGAAACGCGACTGGCTGCACTGCCTGCGCCGCCGCGGCCGCCGCTATCCTCTGCATCTCTTCTCGGGTCATCGCCCCCATTTGTTGGCCGGGGGCTTGTACGGCTGCCTGTGGTGGCACTCCTCCTTGCGCCATCACTCCTCCCTTCCCTTGTGTTGGATCTGGTGGTGGTGGTGGTGGCATCGCCGCTGCTGCTGCTACACGAGTCTCCTGGGCCCTACTGGAGCTGGCATCTCCTCCGGGAATCGCCGTCGTCACTCCCACACCTTGAATGATAGGTGCGGGAGTGATCGGAGTCTGCGATGGGCTGGAAAAACCCGGAGGAGGGTCGTGCCCCAACGGCCTGGTCGTCGTCCAAGCTTCGTCAAACGTCGACTGCAAGTTTTTAGGAATTCCGTCCGCCATAGCTGAGCTTCAAACACAACTTTTTGAACAAGTAATCCCCACAGACGGCGCCAATAATGCAAGCGTAAGCGTCCTGGTCCGGTTCAGGATAGATCGGTTCTTGTCCTCGCCGGTAGAACGCCAGAAACCTGCAAATAACTTTCACACCGGGGGTTGTGTCCGGTGAAGAGCCTCCGATGCTTAAGTCAGTATGTGTATGAGTATACTGAAGTGAAGTATGGAAAATAGAATGTGTTAAGGAAGAAAGGCTCACCCCCTTTATATAGGGGTGAGATACCTGCCCTAATAGCTGCCTGAATAAGGATGAGCTGGCTGCCCAAGCTGCCTGTCCGTACTCTGACACGCTGCATACATGTCAGAGGTGGCGCGGGGCGTTGGGAGCTGTCAGAGGTGGTTATCGCTATCACCCAATACATTGTCGACACGTGTCCCCCCTGCACATGGGGTAAATATTCTCCCGAGATTCAGCTAGAGGCTCTTACGCGCGCCCGTGATACACGCGCCCATGACTAGGCCGACTGTTGGTTCCTCGAAGCGATCGACCTGTTGAGGTCGAATAGGTTGCTCGATCATGTATCGGGTCGAGCGATGGGTTGCTCGATCACTTGTCTGGTCGTGCGATGGACTGGTCGACCACCTGCCTGGTCGACTATCTGCATGATCGATCCTCCCGCTTCTCGTCTTGGCTTCCTCCTAGTTTGATCTTCTCAACCGGTGGAGTAGACCGGTTTATCCTTGAGTATATAATATCCCATATCACCTATATATTTATATATATATTTTTTCGGCGACCCCATGATTTTTCGGCAACCGACTGGAGCTCCGATGGTGTCCAGCGAGCCGCCAGAATTTTTTAGATCACGACCAGCCTGTCCAATTCGCGCCCAGGTTTTTCATTCCGCACACGAGCCCACTTCACGTCTTCAGTCCGCGCTCAGGAGTCCAGCTCGCATTCAAGTCCAACAGCTTGAGCATTGCGCGGCCCGTTCACGCGAAGTCTAGCAACCCAGGCGTGTAGGAGGTCTAGCAGCGAAGCCCAATGGAAGCAGTCCATTACGCGTGCGATCCAACAGGTGTGAAGAAGAAACACGCGGGCCGTATAGCCCGCGCAGCTCGCGTTGAGCCCGATAGATCTCTCAGCTCTCAGCCCGTGAGCAGCCGGCGTCCAGCCCGCGTTCGCCTCACTACTGAGCCCGCGAGAAGCCCGCGTGTTGGCCCAGCTCCTTCAACATCCTCTCTCGGCCCAACTGCAGCATATCTTCGGCCCAACGCACATCCCCGCAGCTCAGTGATGGTGAAAGTGGCTAAGCGAAACTTAGTTCGGTCCAACAGCGTAGAAATCAACTCCAACCGGTCCATAACACCACCAGACCGGTCCAGACGCGCCCAGCAAGGTTCAACCCGGTTCAACTTGGTCCAGAAGCCCCGGTTCATGCCCAAGATGGTTCCCGAGCAGTCTGAGTAGTTCGGCTCACTTACCGAAGGTTCGAGACGAACCGATGAGCTTGATGAGTGATTGGAGCACCTTGATGACTCGATTAGAATCGACAAAGGCCAAGTCCAGCTGCCCATTGGACTTTGGTGTTCAGAGGATCTCCATCAACGGAAATCAGAAACGTCTCAGAGTCGGCAAAAATTTTAAATAATAAGTCATAATCCTAACTACAGATTTCGTTGCGTTAGGATTATTATTCAATAGATTTGAATGTGCACATTGCCGACGTTCCTAATAGGACCCAACAACTGGTATAAGAGCCCAGGCTAATTCATTTTTGTGCGCTATTCGAATTAGGACTTGCGTGATATATGTGAATTAACTATGTACAGATGCAACACATAATAGATTAGAATTGCAAATAAGTGTGCTTGCAGGTATTCTTGAATCCGACTGTAACGCCCCGTTTTATTTTAAAGAATTTACCGAATAAATTTATAAAAATCAAAGTTAATTTTTCGCAAAAACTCAAACTAAATTTTAAAACTCAATGGGCGCTACTTATTGACTAAGAATAAATTAAACAAAGATACAAACATATAACCCAAGCATAAAACAATAAAGAAGTATGTATACACTCATAGCTAACAGTTATAAACAATAATTCCATGCATTTATTAAGTTCTCAAAATAACCATAAGTAAAGCATAATCCCAAAAGGTTTCAATCCGGCATAACTTAATTATCCAAATCAAAACAGGAAAATAAAACTAAGTCATGAAAGCAATTCAACAAAGTCATAAATAAGCGGAAACATTTATCATGGTAACATATCGACCCATTGACCAAATCTCGCTCGTCTTTATGCAACCGTCTCCAGCTCATCTCAACCTAAAGAAGGAAGAGAAGACAACAACAGAAAACAAACAATGGGGGTGAGCATAACCAACAAGCTCACCATTATCGCACGGTTATTCAGTATAAAGCATTTTAAAACATTTACACAGTATGCATAGAATCCAAGGTCTAAACTCCCTACTCAGCCCTATGGCAAACCTCCTATGTACATACAACAACCTTCCGGATACAACGGCATGGAAGTAACTGGAATCCTTCCCACCCCCGGGTACAACGGTTCGTAGGATCCTTTCCAGAAGACAGTAGAGATGTTTTTCCCCTTCCGGGTACAACGGCTTGGGGCGTCTCCTCCCGGATACAACGGGCAGGTGACCTCCCATTGTTTTCGCATTCATCAAAGGCATTATTGTACGGGACACCTAGACTAGGGTTCTCACGCATACAACAATTTTCAAACGAAGCATTATACGAATAAAGAGTGCAATAATTAT